CTGCAAGGCTGCTTTTGACTTGGCCTTGGAAGCATCACTTCCACCACATCCTACTGGCAACAAGCTAGTCACAGAGCCAGCTCAGGTCCGAGAGAAAGGGCCAGAAACCACACAGGGGAGTGAATACCCTCGGGGTGGGCGTGCGGACGTTCCTTCAGGGGAACAAGACAGCACAGCCTCCCTCTGGGCGGGGCAGAGGGACAGAACCTGAAGCCACGGCAGGGCCAGGAGAAGCTCAAGAGCCTCACTTCGTTGACTGGCCTTCCCCGGAACGAGAATCAAAAGACCACAGACTCCCAAAGAGTCCCAACGCCTTGAGCTTCCAGATGATTCCAGATCCTATTTCAGTACTTTCTCCAAGCCAACCAGTCAAGAAAGGTACCACGTTCTAAGTGTTCCTAACCCCCTACTGCATTCATACGTGTTTACGTTTTCAGCCAGATCTGTGACTGTACCCCCTTCGGTGGGCCTGCAGACCGAGGGCACTGCCACCCAGGCTCCTTCAGCCTTCAGACCCCGCGGCCACCAAAGCATGCCAGCCCCCGAGAAACTGAGCCTGAGCATCCAACCGTGGCTGGAAATGATGAGAGCTACAGTTCAGGTGGGAGGAGCGCAGTTCCCGAAGGGCTGTTGGTCGCTCCATCCCCAGGCAGGGCGGATTTCAGATGCAGCCCAAGGGAGGAGGCTGGTGGGATGGACGGAGGGACACTGGGAAGGCAGCTGGGACACGGGCCACAGACCCCACCTTTTGGCAAAGATGTGGTCTCCAGGGAGAAAGCCACGAGTGACCTCACTGATGTCAGACAACCACATGGAAGCACTTAAGTGCAGAATGGACAACTTGCTGTAAAATGTGAGGGGCGTCCTTTCTCCTTCGCAACAGAAGTCTCTGCGGAGAAGGTGGACAGACTTCATCAGAGAGACCTCGGTTCGTGCTCTTGCTGGGTGACCCTGGAAAAGTTACTGAACCTCTCTGAATCTCCTTGGTAAAATGGGGGAGAATGCTGCCTGCCCCACCACTGGTAAAACGAAATGACATGACACGTAGGAAGTGCCCGGCTCACAGCAGCATTTGACAAGCATTCAGTAACTCAGTGTCTCAGACATTGTGATGGGGGCAGTAACCCCAGCAGCTGCTGCCCACACCCATCTCCTCAGCCACTTCCCTGGCTCAGGGTAGGTGAGCGGCTTCCTTTTTTTTCTTTTTTTTTTTTTTCTTTTTAAGATTTTTAATTTATTTATTGGACAGAGAGAGAGAGAAATCACAAGTGGGCAGAGCAGTAGGCAGAGAGAGAGGAGGAAGCAGGCTCCCTGCTTAGCAGAGAGCCCGATGCGGGGCTCGATCCCAGGACCCTGGGATCATGACCTGAGCCGAAGGCAGAGGCTTAACCCACTGAGCCACCCAGTTGCCCCAGGTGGGCGTTTCAGATGAGTGCCGGCCAAGAGGAATGTCACACGAGCCAAATCTATAGACTGCAATTTTCTAGCGTGCCCATTAAAAAGGGTAAAAAGAAATGAGAAATTCATTTTGATATTGTTTTATTTAATGTAACGTATCAACATATTTCAATCCATAACCAGCATAAAATTACAAAAATTTCACTTCCTTGTTTTATACTAAATCTTTGAAATCCACGTACACTTAAACTGATTTATACCACATCTGAATTTGGATGCTTACCATTTCCATGCTCGATGGTCACATGTGGCTATGCTGAGTCACCCTGCTGGACAGCACAGCCTTCGCAGAAGGAGCTGGGTCGGCCTCCCTAGTCAAGAACTAAGTAGCCTACACGTTGGTAGAAGTCTGGGCCTGTGTTTAAGATGCAAGGACCTTCCCCACACTGTCAGTCCCTACTCCCAAGGACAACAACTATTTTTGCAATACTCTCCAGCTGAGTTTGAAGGGAAGAGAAGAAAGGCAAATTGCCATAAATACAAATGGTTTATTTTTCTTTCTATCCACAGCAAATTAGTAACCATACACAATCACACAGAACCTTGCCTCTCTTGATGGAAAGCACACTCTTTATTTGTACAAATGAAAAAAGCAAGTACCTTGGCTTTGACTTGGGGCCAGCAAGGTCAGAGATCATGAGGACCCAGACAGGACATGGCAAAACAGATCATTTTTGATAGAAATGTTACCTGGGACAGGAGCCCAGAGAGGGGCCCAGAGAGCCACAGATAATGAGAGCTCAAGAGGCTGCTGAATCTGGGCTGGCCCCCAGGTATAAAGACCTCTGGGTTCACCGGCATTCAGAGCTGAGCATGTGAACTCGGGAATAAAACACAGAAGTTAAGGCCTGGGGGAGAAAAAGCCCTAGAAAAGAAGGAAGCTAAAGGAAACAGAATGGTCTACTGAAGAAATACCTTATCCTCTGCCTCCGGCTAATGTCAAGGTAAGAAAAGACCTGAGATTTTAAAACAATGAAACTGGACCGCTTTCTTACACTACACACAAAAATAAATCAAAACAGATTAAAGACCTAAATGTGAGACCTGAAACCGTACAAATCCTAGAGGAGAGCACAGGCAGTCATCATTCTGACATCAGCTGGAGCAACATTGTTCTAGCTACGTCTCCTGAGGCAAGGGAATCAAAAACAAAAATAAACTAGTGGGACCACATCAAAACAAAAAGCTTTGCACAGCAACCATCAACAAAACAGAAAGACAACCTAGTGAGCGGGAGAAGATATTTGCAAACGATATAGTCAATAGGGGTTAATATCCAAAATATATAAAGAGCTTATACAGCTCAACACCAAAAAAACAATCTGTTTAAAACAACGGGCAGAGGACCTGAACAGAAATTTCTCCAAAGAAGACCTACAGATGGCCAACAGACACATGAAAAGGGGCTCAACATCACTCATCATTGGGGAAATGCAAGTCAAAACCACAGTGAGATCTCACCTCACACCTGTCCGAATGGCTAAAACCAGGAAGACAAGAAACAACAGGTGTTGGCAAGGATGTGGAGAAATGGGAACTCTCGTGCACTGTTGGTGGGAATGCAAACTGGTGCAGCCACTGCGGAAAACAGTATGGAGATTTCTCAAAAAGTTAAAAATAGAGCTACCCTATGATCCAGAAATTCCACCAATGGGTATTTACCCAGGGAAAATGAAAACACTAACTTGAAAAGACATACGCACCCCTATGTTTACTGCAGCATTGTTTACAACAGCCCAGACATGGAAGCAGCCTAAGTGTCCACTGATAGACTTATGGGTAGAGCAAATGTGGAAAACACAGACACAGACACACACACACACACACACACACACACACACAGGAATATTAAACAGCCATAAAAAAGGGATGAGATCATGCCATGTGAGACAAGGTAGATAGACCTAGAAGATATTATGGTAAGTGACATAAGTCAGGGACAAATACTATATGACTCCACTTATAAACAGAATCTTAAAAAAATGAATAAACAAACAAAAAGTAGAATCAAAAATATAAATACAGAGAACAAACTGATGATTGCCAGAGGGGTTGGGGGTACAGGGTTTGGCAAAACAGGTGAAGGGGGAGATAGCTCTGTTCCAGTTACGGACCAAGTAAGGCCCAGAAATAAAAAGCACAGCATGAGGGACACAGTCAATAGTAGATAGCGATGTCTGGGGACAGAGGGTACACTTGTGGTGAGCAGAATATACTGCATAAACTTGTCAAATCACTACGTCATACACCTGAAATCAATACAACATGTGTCAACTCTACTCCAACTAAAAAATTAAAAAATAAAAATAAAAAATAAAAACAATGGGACCGTGGGGGTGCCTGGGTGGCCCAGTAGGTTAAGCCGCTGCCTTTGGCTCAGGTCGTGATCTCAGGGTCCTGGGATTGAGCCCTGCATCGGGCTCTCTGCTCAGCGGGGAGCCTGCTTCTCCCTTTGCTGCTTTCTCCTGCTCATGCTCCCTCTCTCTTTCTCAAATAAATAAATAAAATCTTAAAAAAAAAAAAGAAAAAAAAGAACAGGTCTCCTGGAAACCAGAAATGGGCCTATTAACTGAGCACGATTCTTTCCAGACTTAGGAATCTCTGTTTGCCTGAATGGCACTTGGAAAGACAGGCTCGTGATGACATTTGGTCAAGATGCCACTTTCCACAAAAGGAGAAGCACTCAGTCGTATGGAGAGAGTTTTGTGGGGGCAAAAGAACAAGGGCAATTCTAAAGTCGGTTTTCTGCTTGATCCTCAGCCTCTATAAAGTTTAACTTGATGAAGAACTAAAAGCCAACTGAAACAGTCTCTGTGTCAAGGTCACTCTGAACATCTTTATCTTAAATGACACACAGAGACCAGGAAAAAACCAGAAAAGAGATTTAAGGTACCCAATTTCCAAAGAATACGAATTCATTCCCAGTTGTTTCCTTTTCCATTTACTTTTTCAACAAGCTGGAGAGAATGTGCAGGAAGAATGGCCCCTGACGGAGCTAACCTCATTCTTCACAGAGCCGAGAACAGACAGGCTCATTTCCCAGATGCTGAAGATGGTTCTCCATCGATGACACACGTGTCCAGCACTGCAAGCCTGGCTTCCTGCCTGGGGAAGGCTCACGGTGACTCCACTACCTTCTATATCTCCAAGTGACCAAAACCAACACCCGGCAGAAGAGCTAAGGGATTCGGACCCCGTCATGAGCAGAAATACTGGAGTGAGACACTATTTTCCTAACCCTTCAGTGTGGGTTCAGGATCAAGTTACCATTTCATGCATATTCCTTCCTTTTGACTCCCAGAGAGGCAAGGTTTAGGGTTTTAATCCAATTTTTAATCTGGCCTGAAAAATATACTTCAGCGTTCAATGATCTGAAATCTTCTCTGAGCCATCGGGGAATTAAGTGGATTAAAAGCTTTAAAGAAGAGGATTATAAATGTGTGTGCCTGTGTGTACACGTATGTTCTAGGTTTGTTTCACTGTCCAGGGAGTATCGGGAGTTATAAACCCTATTCCCTCTGTTGATCATGGAGGAGAGAGTGAATCTAATACAGGCCAAAGAAAGTGTGTCCAGAATTCAACACAACATATGGTCACCAAAAGACTTCAGCACTCAATCCAGAGTAATAGTGTCCTTGCTGGTGTCTCACTTGGCTCAGAACTCCCAGTGGACCCTCATCGCTACGCCTGCCCCCCAGTGGAAACCCTCCTGGGGAATTCCGTCTGTGCTCGTAAGCGGGTGAGGGCGGGCTCCAGGCAAGCCCATGAAAGCAAGGGAAGGACATCCCCAGAAGAGTCTCCAAAGACGTAAAAACACAAAACAAAAAGTGCCATGGAATACCTTGAGCCCACCATCAAGTAGTCAAAGCAGTGTTTGGTGACAAGTGTTTGACAAGGAGGCCTGTGCATCAGTCCAAGGGAGCGGAGCCGGCCCCGTACGGGGGGACTCCCGGATCTGGGTCTGCCCCACTGGGCAGTGCGGTCAGCAGGACTCCAGGGAGCCTCTCGAAGCAGGAAGACACAACACAGTCCCTTCTCTGCAGCAGTCCACGGACCCCCAGACAGAGTTCTCCTTGATGCAGTGAGACGTGGCGGCCTCACTGTCCCTGCTTTCTCGCCTCGGACACACTCCACAGGGAGTTCCGATGCTCAGGGGCCCAGTACACCAGCTGGCAGCCTTCGAGTTGACTCTTCGTGCCCTTAGGAGCCCTTCCGCTCGGAGAAAACCAGCAAGGCCTCTCCAAGGCCCCCGAGCAGGAGGCTGCAAGAGATGGCAAGAGGTTAGCTTCCCTGTCCCCTGAGCCTGGAGGCTGGGGGCCCACGGAGCTGCCTGGTGCCCATGTGCAGCACAGCAAGGGATCCCTCCCTCTGTGGCGGGGACTCTCGCGTCCCCTGCCCAGCTGCTGGGTTGGCCCCGTAACTGCCCGCTTGTCCCAAGTAAACGTCAGCTGGGAGGCAGGAGGGGCGTGGGTGGGGTTTGCTCCTTCCCTCACCTCCCTCCCCCCTTGCCCAGGAAGGAGGTGGTAGGTCTTGCTCATCCTGACCCGGGGGGGTGGGGGGTGGGGGGTGACTGTGCTCCAGCAACCGCTCTGCCCCAGACACAGCACGGCAAGGACACCGCCGAGAGCTTTCAGCAGACAGGGGTTGACGACAGGACACCACGCAGGTATCCCTAACCTTGTCATGATTGAGGGCACAGTCTTTGAACCCTGTGATTCCACTGAGGCTAGCAGAGCATTTAGAGAGGAAAACACTAAAGTCGAATCATGACTTTCCCATCAGCGCAGAAATACAGTCGCCGATCCTAAAATGAAAAGGTAGTGGGAAAACTGTAGACGGGGGAGGTCTGGAGGTCTGTACATTCTCTATTTTCAGCTCCTCCGTAGACAATCTGCTGTCTCTCTGAACCCCTAAATTCTTCCCACAAAGCACTTCTGGGCACTGGGCTGGGCCATCCCTGCAGGATTATGATGGGAGGTCCATGGTGACGAAATGCCCTTGATCAGAGGTGCCAACACGTGCTTCCTGTCTTGTCCCACCTCCCCCACACACCCGCCCACCACACACGCACATTTCGGCGACAGCGTCTTTACATTTCTGACGTACACCGGGGATGCCGACTCTGTGAAACACACAGGCGGTGCACACCACATTCCCAGGGAGAAACATCACCCATGTGAGTGACTCTGACATAAAGATAACTTGTCCCGTGTGCCCCACTTAGCACAGGAATGAACTAAGTGCGAGGCCACTGAAACAACCAACCGAGTCCCACCTGTGGCTCGGGCATTGCTTAGCTAGGTGACCCAGTGCCTGCTTGTCAGCTTCCGTCTGGTCTGCGCCACAGGAGCTGCTCACATGCAGCAGTCTGTCTGAGGCTGAAAGGGACATGCAAGAAGCCATCGGCCCCCACACTTGGCCTCTAACAAACGAGCAATAGAATATTACCGTACTGACTGGTTGACTGCCCGCCCGGAGCGGCAATGCCTTCCTCACTGGCCTCAGAGCTGGCTTCCCGACTCTGCTCCAAGACTTCACATGAGGGGCACGTCCCCCTGGTTGAGCAGCTCTGGCCACGGGGTTCCAGCCAGCATTGACGAGCATCTTATCATGGAAGGCCCTGGGCGTAAGGTTTCTCCCTCCAGGGGGAAACCCTTCCTCAGACTGACCCAACAGTTGCTTCGTACAACCTCACCTGTGAGTCCAAGTTCTGCTTTCTAGAGCGACAGAGAACAAATCCTTTACCCCCGTCTACCCTGGAGAGCAGGGAGAATCCCCAAACCACCATCCTCTCCTCTCCCTGTGACAAAAGGGCTCCCGGTGAGAGCAGAGGCACCCGCTCTGCTGGGGGAGGGGACCGGGAGGGTGTCCCACCAGCCAGGGGAACAGCTGGGATGGAAAGGTCAGGGGCGTGAGGGGGAGGTGTGCCTGAGATCTGAGCTCCGAGTTGGAATGAACTTTCTTTTTTGTACAGAAATATTATAAATAGTGACAAGAAGCCCATAAATTCTCTCAGACACACATTTAACTCATAATAATGTAACTGAAGGTTGTGTCTATGTTTTAAGTGAAGCAAATGTCTGAGGACCTTCCTAGATCTATACTCATCATTTACAGGATTGTTTCTGTGAGAAACTGGGGTCCAGCTTCCGAAAGACGGTATGTGGAAACGGGACGCATGTGTGCTGGTCCCTGGCCTAGTGCCAGGGTGCGTGAGGGCCCTCTCGCCTCTTCTCTTGGATGAAGGGGAAGCTGTTCTTCTGGTACTGGGGGCTCAGCCCTGAAGACCAGGCTGCTCCTTTCATGTGGATCTACTGTTCCTTTCAACATCCCTTAAGGAACACACACACACACACACACACACACACACACACACACACACAGAGTCTTCTTAAACCCCCGGGGGCAAGTGCAAAGTCATGGTGACCTGGTACAAAGCCTGCTCGGGCCTTTGGGCGGGGGAGGGGCTTATTTCTGCAACATAACCAGGGCCCCAGTCATTTCTACAGCTTCCAGTAATCCTCCTTAGTCACCAGGGAGAAGAATAGGCCACGGGCTGGCTCACTGCCCCTTCTCCCCCACAGCCTTAGAACAATGCCAAGCGTAATAACCTTGCATCTCAACCGCTGGGCTTAGCTACTGCCTGAAACACCAAAGCAGCTTAGAGAAGACTCAGCAAGGAAACAAACCTTCGTTCCGTATACTGGTAAGAGAGCCAGGGAGGTGAGCTTTGATGTTGCTTTCTAAACAGCAGGGGAAGCTGACACGGGGTGCAGGAATCTTAATAGCATTACAACTATTTAAGTCAGAGCCTCACTGAACTGTTTGCAAATCTTGTAATCCCCATCATTCCTGAAGTGAACACACTTCATGCAACTAAGGCATACACACCAGACTGGAGAGCGCACCCGCCAGAAATACTCAGCACCAGCTTCTCTTCCGAGTGGGGGGGGTTTCAGTTCCTCCCCAGTCTTTCTTTCTCTGTCCTCCCACCCAAAGAGGCCCCGGCTCGGTTTTACACTCATTACTGTGCTTATTCAAGCACTTACTGACCCCATGAGATGGGGGCCCAGAGACTGTACCCTTTTCCGGCTGGAGCTCCCATATTTTCCCAATGAAGGACGATGAATTCCTATCCTTGCTCCTCCTTCTCCCATTTATATTCCAATTTTGGCTTTCTCTCTCTTCCTCACCAAAAGGTATCTGCCTAATGTACCATTTCCTTGGAGACTTGCTGAAGTTCATAATCTGATCAATTACTCTCTGTGTTGAGAGGTAATGAGTGATAGTTACCTAGAAGGCCTTGCTTAGCATTTTGGAGTTTTTAACTCAAGTGGAAAACTGATAAATTTCAGTCACTGTGGGGGCGCCTGGGTGTTCAGTGGGTTAAGCCTCTGCCTTCGGCTCAGGTCATGATCCCAGGGTGCTGGGATCGAGCCCCACATTGGGCTCTCTGCTCAGCAGAGAGCCTGCTTCCCTTCCTCTCTCTCTGCCTGCCTCTCTGCCTCCTTGTGATCTCTGTCTGTCAAATGAATAAATAAAATCTTAAAAAAAAAAAATTCAGTCACTGTGATCCCAGCTGCATTCTGGGATATGTTGGGGGGAGTACTTCCTTCACCCCTAAATTCACTCTCTCCATAAAGAGGCTTGGGCAGTCTCTGCACAGTGTCCTAAACTGAAAGGCATAAGACATCATTATTCAAAAACGGTATGAGAACACTTTCTAAAGCCTGCTGGTGTTAGTGCGGCTTGTGCTAAGATCGAGCATGATGCTAACCCGTGATCAATGGTGGGCTCCGTGAATGATTGGCAAAGGCGAGAAGTGATCGCAGAGTCCTCAGGACAAAAAGGTTGTGTTTTGGTTATTTGTTTTCTCTTCGTGTACCTAAACTATAAGAGGGTCTCTCCTAGTCTAAAAAGAATTCAAAGAAGGGGCACCCGTAACTATTTCTACTCAACAGGGACACTGCTCACAGTTTAGAATTTTTTCTTTCACATGTGTTCGATCCCCTCTGTTGAAATTTTGGACATATACACCATATACCATAAAACTCCATTAATTAAAAGTGAATAATTAAATATTAATCTGGATATTTAAATGCACGGCTTGCAATAGATTGTTTTTGTCATTAAAAACAAGATACTTCTCTGGACAAGAGCAGTTGCTTTTAAGAAAAGCCTTTAAAAGTTGACCAGCATTGGTACTTCGGTTTATAATTTTTCTTTCGTAAAGTAGTTGGAAGGCTGGCCACTCATTTATTCAGCTCTTAAGATGAGGCAGAGAGGCACACAGGTGCCTGGCTAGGGTTCCCTGCTGGAGGAGCTCCCAGCCACAGCCAGATGGGGCGTGCACACCCAGCTCTCACTCAGCAAGGTGGAGCTGACCGTGCTGTGCACAGAGAGTGTGGGAGGGGCTGCCGAGGACCTGACCCAAGCCAACCAAGTCTCTAATTTAGGAGATCAGCAGGTTTCTAAGATCTTGCTGAAATTCTGAATGGCATTTTCTCCACTAATCACCACAAACCTTTAGATCCATGATTCCAGCTGGGGCTGTTTTGCTCCCAAGGGGACACTGGGCAATGCCTGCAGAAACTGCTTGGCATCCTGTGGGGGTGGGGCTCAGGTTCACAGCCAAAACCCTACAAGGCACAAGACAACCCCCTAGAGTGAATTATCTGACCCAAAATGTCAACAGTGCTGAGGTGAAAAACCCTCCTTTATTTTAAAGATTTTTATTTCTTTATTTGAGAGAGAGAGAGAGAGAGAGAGTGCGAGCTCTAGCAGGGTGAAGAACAGAAGGAGAAGCAGGCTCCCCGCTGGGCAGGGAACCCGATGCGGGTCTCGAACCCAGGACCCTGGGATCATGACCTGAGCCGAAGGCAGACGCTTAACAACTGAGCCCCCCAGGTGCCCTGAAAAATCCTACTTTGTGCAGCTAAGCTGCTGCTGCCCCCAGAAGGTAGATAATGACGCATTGTGCACTCATTCCCTGGATGGTGACCTCGCGGGGGCCACAGACCATGTCAGTAGCCTCGGAGCCCACCAAGCATTTTTTTGTGAAATGAAAGAATATATGAGCAAATGGAGGTCGGGATATAGCTGACACAGGGTCCTCAGGTCTCAGCCAGCCTGGGTGGGGAAGGCTGTGCTGACTTCCAGCGTCCATGCCCACGGAAAGGGGCAGTCTCTACCTATTCCAGCAATGGGTGCCATGCGGAAGTACATGCCCAATGCAGTTGCTGGTCCCCATTTTCAGAAGAATCTGGAAATACGGAGCCTTATGGGGAAGTCACCTGATTTCTCACCTTGACTGATTTAAAAATTTGCAAACCAAAAAACAAGAAACGATGATACAGGCAAACACAGTGGGTCCCAACAAAACAGTTCTGCAGTCCCTGCTCTTTGGGATTTCTGATCAGCCTAAGTTCCCACAAGCCAGAGGGCAGCCCTGCCCGGGGCCCCAGCTCTGAGAGCTGGTCAGCCGGTCTTGGCGTGAGCATGCCGCTGTATGGCCAGCACGGACCAGCTCTGTACGAAAGACAGGAAGTCTGAAATATGGTCTGACACTCCTCTTCTGGTGGTTCACTTTGTGGTTGGAAAATTCTTGGAGGCCGAAAACACACCATCCTTAAACGCAAGAGTTCTCAAAAATCAGGAAATTCCAAAGTCAAGGTTCTTTTTGCAATAATCGCACATGCTGTTTCCTTGATTTGGGTACACACAGCCTTTCTTTCCGTTTTGTTCAGGGCATCCCATAAAGCTCACAGGATGTGAAAGAGCCTGGAGGCTTGGCCCCTTCCAGACTGCTGCTGTGATACTCGGCCTGAGCATTTCCTCCCAGCTGGAGAGCCATCTCACTCCGCTAGTTCTCACACTCAGTTCCACACCTGGGTTTTTAAAGTTCATTCTGAAATTCTGTACAAAACAGAGTTGTTGGAGGCTCACTTGTGAGAAAGAAAACCACCGTCAAGAATCTAGAATTCCACCATGAAGGTGAAGATACAGACATTTGGGGAACAGTCTCAAGGGTGTACTAGGATATCTTGGCAGCTGGGTTTCTGGACATCCTGCCTACTGCGGGGGTCATGCCTTCCTGGAAGGACAGGTGTAGGGGAAGAAGGAGGGAGCAGAGGGTTAGCTTCCTGCCCCACAGCCCCAGCTCCGGTTCTAAATCACTAACTCACACCATTGGCCCCTCCTGCCTCTCTACGCTTCTCTGTCTTCCTGGGGCCAGAGGGCCCAAATCTTCTTCCTCCCACAGCCTCACTAAGCCACTCTGTTCTGCATAAGGTCCTACTCAAGCCAGTTCCATAGCCCTCCTGATGGCCAACCTCTCTCCTTCCTGCAGCCCTCACATCTGCTGTGCCTTCAGACCATGACTATCTAATCCCACAAACTATCTTTATGATTTCCCTGCCCCTTCCACTCTTGGAGGGCTAAATGATGTCTTATTTTGCATACAGCAATCACTCAATAAATGTTTTCAGCTAACTGACATAATTATAGTTTACAGTATTAAAAAATCCAAGACAGTGAGATCTTTGTCCTATGATCACTTCCCTGGACATTCTTAGTTCACCACATCAGCCCTTGAACAGGAAATAGAGCTGTCTTGTCCTGGGTAATGCTCCTTCTGTGTTGCTGTCAAATTATCTAGAAGCTCTTCATGGATGGTCATACTGGTGAGAAGAGGACCATATAGGCCAGTTTCTTTAACACCTCCCTTATGACCACTTCTACCTAGACACCACCTACACTGCTGGTAAGTCCTTGGCGTTTGCTAAGTCAGTCCTAAGGAGGTACATACACAAAGGTTATGGGACCCTGAACACACACAAGTCTGGTTTTGAATCCTTGTCAATCATAGCAGCTGTAAAATCTTGGAAAAATCACATAATATATATAAAGTTAGTGGATCACCGGTAGTGTTTGTGCTTGTGTGGCTGAGTGGCCGAAAGGTTTGCGGGTGAAGCTCTGTTTCTTGATTCTGGATGCCGGCTGTAGTAGGTTCGGGATAATCAGTTTGTGAAAATTCATCAAGTTGCATATTCATGACATGGGTACTCCTCGGAGTGTGTACCTACAGGTCAATAAAAAATAGACCCCAAACGCCCTTTCTTCAACATTGGAGAGAAAAAAAGTAATATCCTGATGAAACCCAAATAATGGGGTGCCTGGGTGGCTCAGTTGGTTAAGCGACTGCTTTCAGCTTGGGTCATGATCCTGGAGTCCTGGGATCGAGTCCCTCATCGGGCTCCCGGCTCCACGGGGAGTCTGCTTCTCCCTCTAACCTTCTCCCCTCCCATGCTCTCTCTCACTGTCCCTCTTTCAAATAAATAAATAAAATCTTAGAAAGAAAGAAAGAAACCCAAACAATGAATTTGCTTTTCCTTTCTCTGTGCAGAAGACTTACCATCCCACTGTCGCACTGGTCAGGATCATATCAAATAGCAATACCGAGGAGCCAGCTGTGAGCACCTGCAGGAATAATTTCAACGAAAAGCCATCAGAGCAGCAGGACTTGGGTAACCTTCTCCAGAGTCCTTGTTTCCAAGCTGAGTTCATGTTGGTTCAGATCCCAGACATCACCCGTTTCTACTTCACGTCCTTTCCCCCACACACTTGCTAGGTCACTGTATTTCGGGCTCCCTCTGAGCTAAGTGTTTGGTGGAGAAAATGCTAAGTCCTAGTCTATTTGGGAGGTGAGAATCTTCAAAGAAACATTTAACTTCCCAGCTCTTCAAAATGGAGGCACCCAGCCAACATCTCACCCATCTCTCTGCAGGGCAGGGGGATAGTAAGAATATGCATATCCATCTTTTTCTCAGTGTGCAGAAATAATGCCCATGTCCAGTTGTGCTCGTCTGTCTGTACCCACATCCTCCAGATAAGAACTTAGCCATCACCCTGCCTTTGCCCACAGTACCATCTCTCCCCTGTCCCAATGCCCCCATCTTTCTGGCCCATGATACAAGTTCTAAGAAACCAAGTGCTTCCTGGGGAGGAAAAATTAAATCATTAATTTGTTATTTGCAGGGAAGCCTGGCTGGCTCAGTTGGAGGAGGGTGTGACTCTTGATCTCTGGGTCATGAGTTCGAGTTCTGCATTGGGTGCAGAGAATACTAAGAAAAAAAAAAACTTAAAAAAATTATCCACAAATACCTAGAAGCCAAAAGAGAGAGTAGAGGTTACCCCCACATCTCTCAGAGCTGGAAATGACAGAAAAGTCTCTTAGGAATGGCAGTAATGGGACTCCCACTCCCACAGTATCACTGAAGAGTTGGCACAGAGAGTATGTGTAAACCAAAGACCCAACTCCAAGGTTACCACTTGGAATGCCTGCTCAGGAAAAGATGTTTTTTCCCCCAGAATTCTGTATTCTGAAGTGCAAGACAGCTTTCATTAGGAAGGTGAGCCTAAAGACCTACTTTCTTGCAATGAAAATCAGAAGCAGGTTGTCAGGGGCGCCTGGGTGGCTCAGTCAGGTAAGCGTCTGCCTTCGGCTCAGGTCATGATCTCAGGGTCCTGGGGTTAAGCCCCGCCACCGCAAGCTCCTTGCTCAGCAGGGAACCTGCTTCTCCCTCTCCTTCTGCTCCTCCCCCTGCTCATGTGCTCCCTCGCTCTCTCTCAAATAAATAAACTCTCAAAAAAAAAAAAAAAAGAAGCAGGTTGTCGTGGGATGGGTCCCTCAGGCCAGACACCCTGAGAAATGTGAAAAACCATCATGCTGTCCTAGAGGCCTCTTCTTATCCCCAAACTGGGAACCAGGCAGCAAGCTGGTGGCCCTAAGGAAGGAGTATGGTCACATGAGTCTCATCCCCATTCACCTACCATCTCAAGAAGAAGTCTGGAAATTTAAACCAGGAAGCTTTGGTACAGAAACTCTGAGAGGTTTTAGAACCTGTGTAATTTACCCACTTGAGGTCCCTCTCTGTTTCCTGCTTTTATTGATTTTCAGCAAAAACTCTGACAACAAAACAGACCTGTATTGGCTTCAGGAACAAAAATGAAGTGGCGACCAGGTCAGCGAGACAGCCGCAAAGCAGAACCCGAAGAACGAGGGGAAAAAGGTTGGTCAAAGTGCTGGGGGGAGGAGGGCAGGTATGTTCAACAGCAGGGTGGATGGCAGCTGTTCTACCCTCCCTTTGTTTCACTTAATGTTATGCTTAGGACCTTTGCACCTATGGTCCTAACTGAAGGGCGCCTAAAATTTTATTAGCTTGCCATGCAACTGTCTGGTTTTGAAAACAAGGTTATACTGACCACATAAGTTAATGTGTCGGCTTCCCTGCTTAGTTTCCTATAAAGGATGAAGGCGATCTTGACTTCGGATGTTAACTCTGACTTGAACACCTTGGACTTGGGCCTTCTAGTTGCAGCTGGCCTGTAGTGGCCACCGTCCTAACCAAATCTTCTCTGTCTCCCTGATTCAAGCTTGTCATTTTCCCTTTTTCCAAAAATGTGTTTCGTCTAGATTTTCCAACTCATTAACATTTCCCTAGTTGGAAAAAAATATTATTTTTTCTCATTTGTGCTCACTTTTATTACCTTCCCTTTTAATCTTACTTTTACTGTCCTTTTCTCTTTCTTTTCTTTTTTTTTTCCCCCTTCCTTAGTCTTAACCAAAGCTCAGCTTGTTAAACCCACTTCACTTTTGCCACTTTTTGGATATTTCCTGGGACGGAGCCAATGGGGATTTCTTAGAACCGCTGAAACAGGCTCTGTTCTACTGATGATGGCTGTGATGTTGGCAGCTTGGCGTTAACAGAACACCTCCCTACATTTGTAAAGGTCCAACTGGCCTTTCCTCATCCTTCACCATCATCTTCAGGCCCTTCGCCCCTTTCCACCAGCTCTTCACGGCCTTCTCTGGTGGGTTCCATCCCTTATTCTTGGAGTGTCTCTCACACAGCTTTCCGTCTGGTGTGCGAGGCCACCACCTCCCACAGGGCCTGGAGTCCACACAGCCTGGGACCGTGCCTCCCTTCCTCCATGTACCTCTCTAGCTCGGGAGGAACCCCGTCTGCCAGGAGACAGACAACCAGCCTGCTTATGCTCATTCACTGCACCTTTTGCCAAGAAAAACACATCTTAAAACTTCCAAACCGGCTCTTACTTGAAACTCAGATTGGTTGGGTAGCCACACCAGAGCCTCGGCCACGGGCTGCTTCCTGGAAATGTTTGTTCAGTCTCCTGTCTTTCTCCCGGGGCACTTTTTCAGACTTCTCTAAAGTTTCATCTCTCAAGGAGCACATTTTCGGCTGGCTGAGACTCCCACTAAAATGTCACAGACAGGTGTGTCTTACTTCTGTAACGACTGTACGGTGAAGTTGTCTACACTATGGAGCTACAGCAAAGTTCAATGGACCACTCTGAGATCTCTCTTCAGTAGAACCATCGGTTTCTGAGCCTTCTCTACTTGCTTTTGTTTCCACTGCCAGCCCTAGCAGTTACCATGGAAGGCATTTTCTCTCTCTTTCTGTCTCTCTCTCTCACACACACACAGACTCACCAAAGTTCTACCACTTCACGAAAGTCACTGCTGAAGACTGGATGAGTAGTGGCCAATGACGCCTGACAGAGAGGTAGACCCTGAGCAGTGGGCTAGCCCGACTTGCCCACTAAGTGACTTGTACACCAACCTCACCAGGTGTGAGGTTCAAATTCATGCCTCAGCAAAGAGGAAGAACACTCAAAATTTGGAATGATAACACCTGTTCATGTCAAGGGTCCAGTCCAGTTCCACCGTGGAACAAAAAAAGAAGCCAGGAGTAGCTAAGGGGTCATGGCTGGGTGCCAAGGGTCCTAGACGTGGTCACTTAGGGGCAGGACCTGAGAAGTAGAAGGGACTCCCCAAGATCACAGATGGGGGAAACTGTGACCTAGCGATGGAGGCTCCAGGGGCCTGGGACCCTCAGCAGTGAGGAGTAGAACCAAAGCTTTGTCTCCCAGGTCAGCCTTCCCTCACAGCCAGAAACTCAAGAAAGGGCCCCCACCAGCTCCATAAAGCTTTTTTTTTTTTTTAAGACTTTGTCTTTCAAGTAATTGCTACACCCAATGTGGGGCTCGAACTTATAACCCTGAGATCAAGAGTCGCATGTTCTACTGACTGAGCCAGCCAGGCACCCCTCCATGTGGCTTCTTTTGGGGGGAAAAAAATCCACCAAAAGCAGAGATTCAAACAGATATTTGCAAACCCGTGTTCATAGCAGCATTATTCACATTAGCCCAAATCTGGAAGCAACCCAAGTATCCATCAATGGATGAATGGAGAAGCAAAATGTGTTGCATACATAATTACTCAGCCTTTGCAAGGAAGGCAAATTGGACCCATGTTGCAACACGGATGGACCTGGAAGATATGACAGTGGGTGAAACAAACCAGATACAGAAAGACAAATAGTGTAGGATTCTACTTTCATCAGGTACCTAGAGTCATCACGTTCGTAGAGACAGAAAGTAGAATGGAAGTTGCCAGGGCTTGTGGGGAATTGGGAGTAGGGAGTAAGTGTGAACAGGGATGGAGTTTCAGCATCAGATGATGAAAAAGTTCTGGTGACAAATGTTAGTAAATGCGTAAACTTTTTTTTTAAGCTGTTAAAATGGTTAAAATGTGCTCAAGAAATCGACTTCGAGTTCCCCTTGGAACTTGCCCTTGAAGAGACTTCAGTAGCAGCTCTGACTAGCAACTGTTGTTCTTGCTTCCAGAAAGCATATTTAGGGGCGCCTGGGTGGCTCAGTGGGTTAAAGCCTCTGCCTTCGGCTCAGGTCATGATCTCAGGGTCCTGGGATTGAGTCCCATATTGGGCTCTCTGCTCTGCAGGGAGCCTGCTTCCTCCTCTCTCTCTCTCTCTGCCTGCCTCTCTGCCTGCTTGTGATCTCTGTCTGTCAAATAAATAAATAAAATCTTTAAAAAAAAAAAAAAGAAAGCATATTTAAAAATACAAATTTTTCCCCCAGAAGAAAGAGTCCTGCGGTCTGAGGAATGTCTCCGTCGCACACACAGATCTGAACAACAAACACCAGGACCAGCCTCGGGCTGAGGGAGGCCAACAACAGCAGAGCTCTGTACGTCGTGCCGGGCAGCGGGCCTTTGAACTTCCTGGCTTTGTCAGCGGATGTCACAACCTCTGTGTTATTGAAGCAGATTTTGGTATTTAAAGCAGATCAGGCTTGTTTTTTAAACATTCATTCCGATCCTAAGACACATTTTCTGTTTGTCCGAGGGAAAGAGAAAGGGGAGTGGTGGGTGGTGGGAACCGGACAGTCGTGCATTGGCGGAGGTGGGGGGGCGTTTGGAGAGTTGGGCTTGTTGTTTGTTACTGCTTTGTGGTTATTGTTGAGACACAGATGCCTGAAGAAGAAAGGGACCGACTACAGCACAGAGAAAAGACCCTGCACTGTCGCTATCTCAGCGACAACCCACGACCCTCACTTAAACGTGCTGTAGTGTCTCTAACACGGTTTCATACCATCAC